GAGAGAGAGAGGGAGGGAGAACGGAGAGGACGTTATTCTACTTCGCTAAACAATCGCTAAAGCTACGGCTCGCAAAGATAACCGAAACTCCCTTGCATCACACAGCTCAGTAGTTTCTTACTCACCACATCGGTGTCATCGTAGTGTCACTCGATCGCGCTCGTGGGATCTCTTCTGGGACGGATTCTCTCGTCGCGCCCGTGATCGTTCAGCGCGAGTTATAAGCGAGACGGAGAGCACAGACGGAGAGACAGAGATAGAGAGAGGCAAAGCGAGACTTCTGTACATCTGTACGTGAAGATTTACGTAGTTCAGGAGGGTTGATCCTCGTTGACTGCACGCTCCTCTGTCGGATCTTCGGGAACGCGGTCGTTCGCCCCGGTCACAAACGGAGAGGAGCGGTAAATCGGGACTAATGTAAAAGGCACAAGGAAGGGACGGACGGACGGAGTTCGGGTCTCGTTCGAGCCTCGATCGAGGAAAACGAAAAAGATGGAGAGACGAACTTTCGGAATAACCCGGACGGACTTGGATCACGGTAAGGCAATCTCGTGGTTGGATCGATAATCGACTGGGAGGGAAAATAAGCTCGTTGGGTAACGCTCGTCGACGAGCTATTTCAGTCTGGAGCGAGAAAGAGCGGGTATGACAAACGGGAGAGTGTCTCAAAAAGTCTCGTAAAAAAAAAAAAAAGACATCTCAAAATGAGAACGATTTATTGTCACGATCTCTGGACGGCGATTTTAAGGCACGGGGAAGTTCCGGGGGGGGACGCGACAGCCGTGCGCCACATCGCACGATGATTTCCGGCGACGATCGTGAAGCTGAACGGAAGTGGAAGCGACGTGAAATCCGGCGCGCTCTTCGATCGGCGATATTTCTCTTCCGGGCAACCGCGAAAAGGCGAAAAGGCAATAAACGGAGAAGACAACCGCAAATGAAATCGCGAGGAGTATTTTCCGAAAATTGCAAGCGAAACCGCATATGCGTTTTTCGGAGGAGGCTTTCACAATACGGGCTTTGTCCGCGGTGGAATAACAATGGAATAAATTCTTTTTCGTAAAAATTCCTAATACCGCAATGGCTCGAGAGAGGAAACTAAGAGCAGAAATGAAAGTTTGTTTTACCTGAGAGAGACCGGCGGGAAACGTTAAACCGATTAATACTGCTTGCACGTCCGGGGGCCGGAACGATCTTTCGCGAGACGTCTTTCACTGCGACGCGGAAGTGGAAACGGTGTCGATCAGGTCGGCGTCCGATCAGACTCCTATCTTCGCGAAGCCGGACAAACAGAAACACGGGGAATAAATAATAAGTGAGCGAAATAAGGATGGCACGTGAGAGGTTGATAGACCGATTGAAATCAAACGTGAGGGAAGGAAGACGGATCAAACGGGAAGCTCTCGGGAAGCTCGGGAAGTTCGGGGACGGGAAGCGAGTTTCGGGTGGAAGTTTGGAGTCGTCGGTGACGGTGCGAAGGGTCGAAGGGATGGGAAAAGAGAGCGAGGGTAGAGAGCGAGGGCGAGGATGTTACCCCGACGGCTGTCGCCAAAGAAGTGATAGGTCTGCGGCCTTGCGCGCGGTACCCGAACCGAGGGCGACGTAGGGAACCGACGGGCACCCGTCCGAGGGGCGCAGACGCGAGGGTTTATCGGTGGACGAGGGCGGCGACGATTGGCGGCGACCGTCCGACGCTACCCCGACGCTTCCTCGTGCTCCGCCAATTCGCGAGGGGGTGAATCGTCCGCTCGGCGAGGGCCCCCTACCACCCTCCCCCCCCGCGCGAGAAGATCACGGTGCATCAGCGTGGTGCCGACCCCTTCGAAATTCGAATGTCGTATCGCGCTATAGGACGTCGTTGGCCCCTTTTCGCCCCCTCCCGCCCCCCTCCCTGCAAAACGAAGGACGAAAAGGCGAGCGAATGTTTGCGACGCGACTTTCTGCCACCGCGAAAGCTAAGATCCACCGACGAATTTGACAGTAAATTTGCAGTAATCGAAATGACACCGTTCGAATTTATAGGGTGATTATGAGGATGCAGTTGCAATTAGACTATGAGATGCTATTAGACTAATGATGTTGCTGTAAAGGCCCCAGGCTTGTCGGTATCTCAATCATTCGGTCGTCACTATCAAATGGAAACGTGAACAATTCCAATCCTAATTCGTTTCATATTACTATACGAATGTTAAACAATTTAATCAAGCAATTTAAACAGTTTTTTTTTACAATTACTGCCAATTATATTTTCCACACTTTTGCGAATTTTATTTTTAGTTCTATAGTGTTTGAACATTCGAGGCATAAAAATATTTAATTCTATAAAAGCAGTTTACGAGTTTAAAAATTTAAGAGCTTTTTTGCATTATATAGTTGTCACTCTTAGAAATAAAAATTCTAATATCTTTCTTTCATAAATAGATATATTATACATGCTGCATTTTTTTCCTTGTTATCGAATTTTCTTTCTCTTATATTCCACTTCTTGGCATAAGAAAGTTTAACTTCGAAATCTCTATTGAAAAATGAATAAAATAAAAATGTTACATGACGTATGAGTTATAACGTGCTCTCCACTAATGTAACACTCCCGTTTCAATGCTTTTCGAATAGTGAGCCAGTGAAAAAATTAAATAATGAGGCGTCAGTACGCAAATCAGATTTATTTACATCACGCAGCTTGAGCTCTCTATCGCTTAAATTATGAAAATAAATTACGCGCTAAAAGACCTCAGAGAGATATTGACGCCCAATGTAAACAGCAATATCATCTCAGGTAGCATATACGGCGAATGATAAGAAATGATAATGCAAGTCCAAAAAGAAAATTACTCCGTCAACCTATAGCTTTTTCGAACGAAGCACTTTAGCGGTTGTCATTCAGAGAACATCACAAAAAGACACTTTGTTTTACTTTACAGACCGTTGAACGTTGCAGGGTAATTTTATATATATGTATATATATATTTTTTTTTCGAGAACTAATTCGCGTTAACCAATCGTTAAATTTTATTTTCGATTCGATTGTATTTCTAAAAATATATTTTTATCGTGCGATCTAATATGGATCTTACGTGTCGAATCAATTTGAGTATCGCTTACTCGATAATCCAATGAGGGAAAAAAAAAAAGCTTCGATCACACGTGAGAAGAAACGTGGTGTAAGATCGGATCCGATAATTTCCTTAGATATGGGCTTAAGTTGTTGGCCGTACAAAGATTCGAAATCCCCACCCCTATCAGTCGTGGTGAGAAGCGGGGAGGAGGAGGGGGAGGGAGACGCGAAGGGATGATAATGTGAGTCTGCAGGCGGGAGGTCTCCTGCGAAGAGGATGGGGAGTGTCACTCAGGAGCACGACGTGTAAGGGAATGGTCACCATCCCGGGGGGTGAATTGAGATGTACAGGCAATTTATGCAGCGAGCGGCCCGGAAGTTGGCGGGCGACTACTGACCATAAACCTCGCAAAACATCGCCGAGCTTTTTTCTCGAAAAAAGAAAAAAAAAAAGAAGAAAAATCAAACGCGAACAATCGAATTTTTCGCACGCAACTAATGTGACGTTTCGTTATACATAGTTTGTCAATTTTACTTGTTTTACAAGACATTACTTTCCATTATAATTCATATATGTGACAGTACGAGAAACGCTATTACATCATATAATATAAAGTATTACTTTATATGTTTAATTTTTTTTTTATTTTTCTTAAATAAACTCATATCTATAAATTCGGAACGAAATAAATAATGTAATAAAATTTTATAATTGCACAATTTTTACAAAAGCTGCAAATAACATAAAATAATAAATTATTTTGTAAATATTATAAATATGAATATTGTTATAAAATGTGTGATTTTTAGTTAGGAGGATTTAGTTGTTAGGTGTATATAAATAATTGTTGTAATAAAAACAAATAATTAAATATCAAAATTGATCAAATATAAATATGAAATACCATTTGCGTACATACAACAATAAAAGTTATTACAATAAAAGTAAAACAAATTACAGTAAAATTTAAAAAATAAGAAGCAGACGTTTATTTCAAAACAGAACCACTAACACTCGTACATACTAAAGTATTAATTTATAAAATTTGTTTTTCCTAAAAATGACACATTTGCTAAACTCCACCCGTGTCACACGTGTCTTTCTGCTTCTGCAGTCGTGAGTGAAGGAAATGACGGAGAGCAAGCTGCGTTGGCAGGGGGATACAAAACAGAGGATGGCTTTCGTCCGGGATGAATTAAGGATCTACCCCCCCTAAGTATGCTTCTGCTTTTCTTTTCGTTCGTGTCATCTCACGCTCTAGCTCTGTCCCTCCTTTCTTTTTTTTCTATTCCCTTTCCTTCTCTCTACAGCCATCAACGCTTATCGTGGTAGCGTCAATCACTCTCGCCATACACGGTGAAACTTATCGTTCGATTAATCGGCCTAACAATGCGCCTGTCGATTCGAGTTACCCCCGGATTCGCGCGCGTGCGGTCAGTCCCCGAAAATGCAGCGCTCGGTCCGACAACGATTTACGACCGGAAAAGTTTTATGGTTCCCAATTATACGGAGGATCCTCTCACGTGAAATTGTTAGCGAGTGAAAGCGCGAACAGTTAGACTGTTAATAGTGTTTAAAACATGGGACGTTTTAGAAGAATCTCCCTTGCGTTAAGCGCAAATTGCGTCTGATAAAGAGTTCTCGACTGAAGAATCTATTCGATTTCTATATTTTAAACAAACGGAATATCTCAGTAGTCTGATATTACTCGCTACTTTGTCGTTCATGTCATCGCGCAGTTATTATGTACTCGTTTATAAAAATCCCCTCTCGAAAAGTTACGATTTATCGCTTACGCGCTTTTGTATGTATAATGAGAGAGAGAGAGAGAGAGAGAGAGAGAGAAGAAGAGAGAGAGAGAGAGAGAGAGAGAGAGAGAGAGAGAGAGAGAGATCTGAAAATATATTTACGAAAATGGTTACGCCATATACGTGCATATAAAATGGCCTGCAATAATAAAAGTTACGATCGAAAGTGGCAACGAATGTCATATGTTCAACTTGTCATATAAATCTGCACGCAAGTAGAACAAGTGTCGTCGGTACTCGATGTTTGTTTGCAGCTCGCAGTTTCGACAGTGTAGACAGCTGTAAGTTTGGCGCCAAAATGTCTGGGCCATAACGTTTCCATTGTACACGTGCCGTCGATGTTCGTGTTACCACGAATGTACGTATCACGCACGAAATTCGAATATCTCCCGAATTTCGCGGATGGAGGAATCCCACCGTCGCGTAACGCTTAATCATGCAATAGAATTTTCGATTCGATCTCGACATCCGCGGATGAATCCGTCGCTCCGGACGGACATTCAAATCGTCTTTTCGAATTTCATTTTTTTTGTAAACTGTAGCTAAAAAAAAAAAAAAAAAATTATACGCGATTCTCCGTGAAATCAAAAGAACAATTTCATCGCGAGCTGCAGAAGATTTTAATTTCGAACCACGGTAAAGATGAGAAGGTTTAGTCGGAAGGTTAGTCGGCTCCTGTCGTGCTTAGGGCGTTAGATCGCGGAATTATCGAAGACGAAACGAATGAGAAACCGGGTCCAGCGATAAACGACGCTTGATCCCTTCGACCGTGGCTACAAACATGACAAACCGTAACCGCCGAGTTTGGACCGGTGGACAGATGTGCAGATTGCATGAACCGCAGAATGGAGATTAAAGATAATGCGGGGAGATACGAGCGAATTGGTCAACAGAGACCATCGACCTTTTAACGCCATTTGTGATGGGCCATTTGCTCATGTTCTTATTAACGACCGGAGTATCGTCCTCAGCGATGAAAAAGTATCTTCGACGCGTTCTGGAAACGCCCGAGGTTCTGCTGGGTTACGAAGGAAAGCGTAATTGTACACGAAAAGAGTAAACAGTTTCGTTGATGTATCCAAAAGTTTGGCCAAATACAGATTTGAAAATAATTTTGTGGGTTTATCACAATAATTATAATGTACGACATTCATCTTATATATTGTTCATTTTGCTTAAGTGCTCGAACATAATAATTTTGATGATGCGATAAAATTATATTCAGATCTACAGTCTCTTATCCGATTTCGCTTTAACTGATTATTTTTATTGAAGTTTTTTAACAAATATGACACTGCGATAGGAAATTGTTTCAATTGTGCTATGCTTGGACAATGCTGTTTATAACTTCTCTCATTTCAGTTGGGAATTTTTAGCTATCTGCACTGTTCAGTTTTTTTTTATGTAGATAAATATTTATATATATTGCATATGTATTTTTTTGTTTAATTTATCCTATAAATGATATTATGTGTTTTCGGATAAACCATTCATTTATCCTACAGAGATATGTTTAAATAGAAGTTAGTTAACACGGAAGTTGACTGGCCAAACTTTTAGATACTTCAGCAAAGTTATTCTTCCAGTTTAGAAACTTGTGTTGAATGTTGAATATCAAATTAAACGCGTGGATGGAATTTTATGGTAACCAATATTGATTAAATCGAAGTACTCGTTCGCACGTACTCGCAAAGAGAAATGCATCTTCGTCCTTCATTTTCCACTTTTCACCCTCCGACCTCGAAATGCCTATTCAAATTTTACGAGTCATATTTGTCGCAATTAAGTGTTATGTTTTCGGGCTTATAGCCCAGAAATATTCCATATTGAGCGCGGGACGAGCTTCCTCGTCTTGGTATAACGGGATAAAGATAAATTCGGAGGTTTGTCTGCGGAGGGTTGTATGAGTAAAACGAAGAGAGGAGAAAAGAGAGAGAGAGTGAGTTTATGGCTTTTGCGGAGATATAGCGGGTACTTTCACAATTCGTCTGACTCACGTCGAAGAAGCGAGACGAAGAGGGTTTCGCGAAAAGGAGCTCACTTTTACGAGGTTCTCCGGACGAAAAAGCGAGCCGAAGAATACGATCTGCAAACCGGAAGCGGCCACTTCGCTACTTACGGTGCCTCGTCGTTGCTCCTCACGTTGTTGTTGTTCTTCCACTCCCCAGCTCGTGTGCGCGCAATCCGAAAATTTGCGTTCGTTCTCGTTACTTGTCAGTCACACGTATCTGGAAATTTCCGAAGGTAACGAGATTTACGTTTCTGTTTAGTTTCTCTCAAGATGTCTTAATAATTAACAGATATAACACAATTGTACAGCAATCTGACAGTTTAATTAAAAAAAAAAAAAACAAAGAAAGTTTAATATTCATATAAAATAATATTCATTTAAAAATATTTAATAAAGCTATATATGAGACTGGAAAGTATTTATATTAATAGATATTTCAAAATTGTATTTATAACTTTTTTTTTAATTAGAATCTTTCATAATTTATATATATATAAGATAATTTATATATATATAAATTATGAAAATCAGATCTAGAACTATAATTTACAATGCCAATTATTTACGCTAATTATTTACGTTCTATTCTTTTGCTTTCTCTTCATAAAAATCCTTAGCTAACAAAGTTCACGCAAAACAAAACCGCAGTAATCTTATCCATGGGACACCAGCAATATAGAACGTGCCTGGCACGTGTCATCGCGAGGCAAGCGAAGAAGAGAAATAAAAGTTCACAGGAACGGTGGCAGAAAAATTCTCGACTCTTTCTCCTCGAAAGACGACGGCAGACGACAGCGAAGTGGGAGGATGGCGCCTCGAAGATTTTCGCAAATTTCGGGCGCGTCGATGATAGAAAGAGGAAGAAAGAGGGTTGCCGTTAGCGAAGACGGAGGAAGCGAGACGCTGACAGAAAGAGGAACGGAAAAGCAAAGAGACAGAGCGACACAAAGATAGAGATGAAAAGACGGGGAGGAGAGAGAGAGAGAGAGAGAGAGAGAGAGAGAGAGAGAGAGAGAGAGAGAGAGAGAGAGAGAGAGAGAGAGAGAGAGAGGAGGAGAGGAGAGAGAGAGAGAGAGAGAGAGCGAAAGCCAGAAAGGGGGTGAGTGCTGGCGGCGTTATGGCGGGCGCCGAGGGTGGCGCCGCGACGCTTTGGCGCCTTCGACGCCGAGACGCTCCACTGATGCTGGCCGCATGTACCCACACATCCGCACACATCCGCGTACACCCCCTCGTTCCGACTTAACCCCCTTCGTTCCCTACCCTATCTACAAGCGCGTTACTCTCCTCTACATCTCCCCGTATATATACGTAATACACGTACGCGCGCAATGAGAGTTCGAGATTCTATTTCACACATACGTATACACGCCATCCCTGTCTCTCGTCACTGGCGCTGCCCTAACCGCCGTGTGTATACGAACATTCTAATGCGAAAGGGGGTGAATAGGTAGACTGCGAGCACGGGTAGGGATGTTTAGTAGGTGCGCATCAAAAGCGGAACTGGCATTCGTTCGGGGGCGAGGTCACTCATCTCCGGCGATGATTCAAGGGTGTGGCATACGCGTCAAGTGGGCCCGAAACCGTCTATCTGGGCCGTATTTCCCAGGGTGGAATTTATCATGTATCCGCAGAAGCAGGCAAGATGGATCGTTGTTGACATCTTAAGCGTCTTGAACAACGCTTTCAGTCGTTGCGTCTTTAATTAAAAGGTCCCGCATGAAGATAAATCGCCGTGCGATTCTTTTTACACGTGTTTAGGAATTCCTTACTGACACCGATCGTATTCTTTTAAAGAGGGACAGCGCATTAAAAAAATCTAAAAAAAAAAAAAAAAAAAAGAATAATAAAATATTTCCTCATTCCTTAATTAATCAATAAATTAATGAAATATTTCCTCATTCCTTAATTAATTAATAAGTCGCCTCACTCGATAAATTATCCCGATGTTCATCTGTGAAATTTGCTCCGTACATCGCATACGTCGGTTTTGGTCTCGACAACGTGGCTTTCATTAAGACGTATCGTGCGTTTTGTCGGGATAAAAAGCGCCCTTTAAAATCTACGCCGCGTCTATAATTCTGTTGAAAAAGTTCTAATCAAGCCCGGGGGCTGAATGGCTCGTTTTCCGGCTACTTTCGCGTTCATAAATAAAATATAAAACTGCAGTCAACAACCTGTATCGATAACTGTGACATAGCGCCTGCGACCGACCGCACCTAGGATAGGCTCTACCCTATAATTTCACAGCGGCGGAATCGTCGCGGCGATAATGCCGCTCGATTGTGGCCGCATACCGGGATTAGACGACGTTGATTGCACGGGATGTAAAGGCGGATACCGAAATCGACTGCTAATTAGTCAAATCGAAATTTCTTCGGTATAAATTATTACATTAGACCGAACTTTTACCGCTCCGAAATTCTTCAACGTGTAGCGGCTGGAGAGAGAGAGAGAGAGAGAGAGAGAGAGAGAGAGAGAGAGATCGTACTTAACTAAAATTAACTATTGACGTACTAATTATCGCGACAACGAAAACGGT